AGAACTTTTTGTTCAATTTGACGTCAGACACCCTGTATATATTGTAATATACAAATAAAAAGTACCGGAACAGCAAAATATCTCGAAAACTAAACATTTTAGGAAAAAATGTTTCGGACAAAAATTGTATGGTTTCAAAGGAGACATAAGACGACTATATCATTTTGTTTACAGATGGCGCCACTTTCGAGATATTCACTGATCATTACTTTTTTCAAATGGAAATTCCAATCTTTTTTTTACACCATCTTTTCCTACCAATTAATTTTAACAACTTTTGTCTGAAACATTTTTTCATTTGCCTCGTATATTTAAGAGATATTTAAGGAAAACTTTTTCAATATTTAACTTGCGATATCTTACTAACTGTTTGTCGAAGAAAAAAGTCGTGCCAGACTTTTTTACTCGATTTGGTCTCAAGAATATATTGTTATAATAGCGTCCTGACTTGTTGATTTAATGATTTTGAAATTTTCAAAAGTCGATAAGTTAGCAAAAATTAGGGCACTATTATAACAATATATTCTTGAGATCAAATAGAGTAAAAATGTCTGGTACTATTTATATACATATTTAATAATATATTTCTAACTTATGATTGGCATATTTATTGTGTATTTACAATTATTTATATTATTTGTGTATTATTAATTTAAATTTTAGTCTGGAAGCTCGACGCGAGAGATCTGCGGTGAAGCCGCGTGATGTAAAAATATCGATCATGTATCATATAATTTATCAATGATTTATGATAGTCATTACTCGAAATTCGTCCCATACGAGGTACTCGGATCTGAATTCGAAGGCAGACTCGAGTTCTTTCCGCTCGAGTCGCGCAATACGCGTGACGTCACACTTGCTGCCGCGATTCAGCCGGAAACTCACATCCAACCCCTAATTCAAACTTGAGAATCTCAGATCAGATCCTGACTCGAGTTTCCGAGTTGCCACGCGACTGCAGCGAGTACGAATGTCTTCGGAAACGACGGGCAACGTCTTTCCGTCCGACGAGACGCAGCAAAACGAAAGTGATCTTCATCCAGCAGCGACCCTGAGTTGCCCGCCTTCGTTACGTCGGGCAACATCTCTCACGGGCGAGTATTACGCGCCATTTTCAATGCAAATCACGCGTTATAATTAACACAGCGGCTCGCGCGAGTCATTATCCTTAGCAAGATAACTGAGGCGTGCGATTAACGACGGCTGCCGCGGCCATCTGCATTTTGTTCAAAGCGGTCGCGATTGTTGCGATGAACCCGCCGGATGTGTCGTTGGCGGATTAACCGCTGGAAAAAGGAATAAACTTACGGCTGCGGTTACGAAGACGTGACCATGTCGACCTACTGCGCGGCGGCTACTGACAGATAAGGGCGATCGTTAATCGCGTTGAACAACGTTGTTCCTCCCTGCCGGGCAAGCGGAAAACATTTCGCGCGGCGGAGTTCATATCTCAGAGTTAATTGCTCTCTCAGGCTCTCTCAAGACGTTGCGATAAAAATCCACGTGTGTTGGTTTACGCCGGCCGTTGGATACACCTTCTAAGCAGCAACTTTATACTGAATTATCTTAACGACGGTGCAAAAAGCGACCTGCCATGCATCAAGCGTGCTTTTGCGATATACCGTCGTTTACACGCACCGCCGGGATTAAGATTGCAGCAGAATTTAATGAAAATGTCTAATCGATGAATAGAGTAATTCCGGAAATCGAATTTGAAAGAAGTAAATCTGATAAACTGTACAATGAATAATAACGTGTAATGAAAATATGTATGTACAACGCATAAAGTTATTATATCAAATAATTATATTATATATTAGATATTAATAATTGTATGTAAGGTAATTACATAATATGTAAGAAAAATATATAATTAATGAACGATCAAAGCGCCTTGTATCGCGCGAATTGTCGTTCGCGTCTCGAAATTAAGAGAATTAATAATATAGAAATTTAATTAATGAATGATAATTTCAGAAATCGAATTTCATTTCAGAAATATCCGTTAAATCTGACAAATCATATAATTAATAATAATAACATTTAATAATAAAAATATATATGTGCAATAAAAAATAAGGGATTCCATTTAAATAATTCTATGTGACCTTGCCCTGACCTTGACGATGCCATCCAAGGTCAAACTGATAAGATCAATAAATACATCGTTCTGAGCTCTATAACTTTTGTCTGAAACACTTTTCTGTCAAACTTATATTTCTCGAGATTTTTAAGGGCCCGGACCTTTTTGGGACACCCTGTATAATATATAAAGTTATTATATGAAATAATTATATTATATAATCATATATATTAGATATCAATAATTATACGTAAAATAATTATATAATATGCAATAAAACATATAATTAATAAACGATGAAACTGGCAAAGAATACTAATTTACTACTCGATACGAGCGCCTAATTAAACGGCCGCTGCAAATGAAGGCATACCTGTTTCCTTCGCGAGGAGGTAATTCCGATTCGATAATTTCGTAATCTCGAGCGGATTCCCGCGAGTCGTAATCGCGAGACGCAGCAGGGGGAAAGCCGGAGGTATGATTTCGCTGACGGCCCTCGGTAGCTCGTTAACGATTCAACGTGAATCGCGGAGTATATGGTCGCGTCTCCGAGAGGGGGAGGGGGCAGGGATGGGTCCCACATGTACGCCAATTTATGCATACTTGGCCGAACAACACCCACCCACCCATGGCTTTGCGGGTTCAGACGCGTCAGAGAGATCTATCGATCGGCGCGATGGGGATCTCGAGTTTGAGGTCTCCACGAGGCGTGGCGTCGATTCCCCCCGTGAAATCGAATCCCTGCGGGACGCGTCGGGACGACGTGACGATTCCCCCCCCTCCCTCGTTTTCCGCTCTCCCCGCGACGTCGCTCTTCCTTCGCCAGACGCGAACTTCAATCTTCATCGCGGAGTCGCCGCGGCGACGATAGCGTCCGATCGAAGCACTCGCGAGCTAATCGAAAAGAAAAGTTCTCTCCTCCCGCCCTCTCCTCCGTCTTGCACCTCCTCCCCCCCCTCTCTGGAATTAGCCCGGCTCGCGATATTCGCGACACGAGTGTCTGCGTCTGGCGATGTCTGGAGAGCCGGTTATTTTCGTGCCAGACGAGTCGCAGACGTCGTGGCATCCCCGGAGACACATCGGCAGGCTAATTTAACCTTAACCCCTTCACACCCTTTCCATTTCCCGCGACGACACTCTGCCCCTCTTGCCCCCCGTGGTCGTCGCAGTCGACGGCAACGGCGAATTCTGCCTCCTCGGGCAGGAAAAGCTCGTCCTTTTCTGCGCGCGAATGATCCGCCAGCATTCTCGCGAGTCTAGACTCGCGGTGACTTATATAGAAAGCGATAAAAGTCCTTCTCTCTCTCTCTCTCTCTCTCTCTCTCTCTCCTCTCTTTCTCTTCTCTCAGACTCGATATATCTTGAGCGCAGCTTGCGCTGCTGACAAACACTTCGTCATCTCCGTGAGAAGAATGTTCGGCCAAATTGACGGGAGGGCGAACGCGTCGAGCGTGTTTCAGTTGAAAGGAACAGAATTTGGCTTGGTGGGACGAAACAATTTCCTGCTGAAATATAAGCGACTTAGAAATTGCGGTGGAAGTGATCAGATTTCGGTCCGGATCGATCAAGATCTCCGGTTGACTCAAACGGAATTCTGCTGTTTGCAGTCGGAATTTCTGAGTCGTTCGTACTTCGGCGGAAAATTGCCTCACGCAACGAAACATTTTGCTCCGTGTATGTTAGTGACGAAATTGCAGTCGGGCAGTCAGTTGAACCTTGAAAAGTGTCGTGACACGACAGCTAAAATCTCAGCGTTTCAGACACGCGCATTCTTCGACGTCGGCGCGACGTACCTCGTGCGTTATTAAGGATGTGAGAAGATTCTAAGGAGTATAAGGTCGCTGGAAACGCGCGTAGCGACGGCGAACAACGCGCTCTCTCTCTCTCTCTCTCTCTCTCTCTCTCTCTCTCTCTCTCTCTCTCTCTCTCTCTCTCTCTCTCTTTCTCTCACGGTGCAGCCCATTTAACGGCATTTACATACGCGACAAACGCCGCGCGGATCCTAGTCGCAAGTGCATCGTTCTGTGAATACACCGTTATTCTTGCGCTGAGCCCGCGTTAAAGCCTGCACACCCGGTGTCATCGTCCTCCGGCCAGTCCAGGACAATGCCGTTCCTTCTTTTCGCGTAGTAAATCAGAAACTTTCCGATATTTACGGCGCCGCGCCCTCGCACGAGCTTTCATGCGTCTGCGAACTTTCGCAACGACCGTCCGCGGCTGCGAGAAGACTCTACGCGAGACTCCAGGTCCAATCCTTGACCGAGGCAGTCAAGTTGAGTCAATATATACTATGAAATATATAATATATAATATATATATGATAAAATATATAATATAATATATGACATGTAATATATATTATAGGAAATTTACAAAAAAAATAAAAATTCCATAATCAACTATATGTAGATATATCAATATAGATATGTCGTATATTGATACATCGATTGGACTTGAGTGTGATATATGATATATAATATATGACATATGATATATAATAATTTAATTTAATCGATCATCTCCGCGTGAGCCCGACCGGATTCTTTATCGACTTGTGGGAACCCGGGGGGATTTAAAATATAATATCAGCAGGACACACAGAGTCGGCTGGAAGTGGAACCAATTGCCCACGAACGTTCAAGACTGAGAAAATGTCTCGGCGCACGCAACGCATCGCCGACGTTAATATCCTGCCGCTCAAGGAACTTACTCGCCGCAAGCGCAATCCTTGCGCGGCTGTTATCGGGCAAAATTGAATTCTCGGCGGTAGTTCATAAAGAGTGTCTTCTCCTTATTCCCACCGTTCCTCCGCGATCAACGACAGATCCTGCGAGGATCACCCCCCTCCCTCTTCATAATTTTTTCAATCACGTTATCATCTGTCAGACGTCGTTCGCGACTCGTCGAGTGAACTGACCTGTCCATCAGCAGCACCTTATCGCCGACTCTCCTGCGGCAGTAGCCCCATGTCGATATCGCATTGAAGGTGATGTTTATGACGGAATACTGAATGGGTTCGTCCACCGCGCCTCCAACCTTACCGCTCACTTGCGTCACGAATTCGCCCTGGAATTCCGCAGGGAAGTAACAGCCCACTATGAACTGAGGGTCGTAACCTTGAAGGACCTCGCTCGTCATCAGGCTGTCGTCTGGAAGGAAGAGGACGAGTGTCTATTAGTCGCTTATTCAATTGTCGCGTCTCTCTCTCAGCTCGTCTCTACTTCAGGGTAAGGCGAGTACGTCACGACCTTAGTCGTGCGAGACAAGTCTGATCACCGCCGGGATGAAACGGTGTCTCTAATTAATTTTTACAGCACGAACGCGACTCTCAGGCCGGAAGTCCAAGTTCGTAATGAGCGTCGTTAGCATTGTGCAGCTGCTCTAATCAATACGCCGCGCAGACTGCATTCAACTGTTGCATTTATTCGGACCGGTTCGTAATTATCGCGAGTCGATTAATAAAACATCACTAACCACAGTTAGAGTGGAATTTATTATCCTCCATTGGCGAGTCGAGACGATCCTTCGGATCATCTCGCGCGATTCGCAAAATTCGCATTTACCTCGCCTGTAAAATGTCAAGCTTGCGAGAAAACCGCGAGCGTGAGTAACGTCCGGCCGCCGATCTGTCCTTCGAGCGACGCATGCGCGTCGGAAGAAGCGTGTCCGACGTCGCGCAGAGTTATGGCACGCAAAACGGTAACTAAATTTGTGCTCTACCACCCACATATCGTGCACTCAGCAGCCCGTGAAAGGTCATTAACGTTACCACTAAGTGGTAACGTGCGACGTCGGGGGACAGGTGCGACGATGACAGGTGGGCTCACCTGCGGAGAAGTAACATTATCCTTCCCTCTTTGTCTCGCGCGCAATTTGCTTGACCAGCGCATAAAAAAAAATATTCATCGAATTAGCGCGACGTATAAAATTCTTTGTTATCGATTTTCCTCAGAAATTCTTTTTCAGATTTTCTTCCAGATTTCTTTCCTCAAAAATGAGTTCCTAAAGAGTATTCGAAGAGGCTTCATATTTTATTATTTATTTATAATAATATTTCATTTTATACTGCTTCATTTTACTTATTCATTTATTTCTGCTCATAGTCAGGATCAGCGCCCCTCTGACGGACAAAAGCGAGCGCGGAGGATGAGAAATAAATTGCGAAAAAATACGCAAAAAATTCACAGGATAAGTATAAGCGCATAAAAAGTCTCAAGATGGCGGAACTCGCATGAGACGATGTTTGAAACTGGACTTACACCGCAGCTCAGTTCGCGTGTACGATCGATTGAAAAATATCGTACCCGGCAAATTGCGATCGGTCAATCGGTGCAACCTGCGGTGACTTTTCCCTCCCTCGTCCTTTCTCACCTTCCGCCTCTCTCTTTCTCTCTCTCTCTCTCTCTCTCTCTCTCTCTCTCTCTCTCTCTCTCTCTCTCTCTCCCCGTCCCTTTCTCGCTCTCGTTAGCATCAGTGCTCTCGCAAAAAGCGTCATCGCAAATTACTTCACACATGAAAACGCACGATGACGGCCAAGTCGCGATCAAAGCGCTCCCGTCCGAGTCCACGGTGCTCATTAACGAGGAGCATTGTGCGTGTATACGTGTATATTAGGCATGCAACGATTTCTCAAAATATCGATAACGATATTATCGTCATTTAGAACCATCAATAATGATAATATCGATAATTTTGAAAAATATCGATATCTACGTATCTCCATATCGATATCTCGTATATAAAAAATGTATACATATAGGCGTATGCATATAAAGAGAATGCACGAAAAATTTAACAAAATCTTTTAAAAATCTTCATCTTCATATAACTTATTGTCATATTCTTATTAGAAAATATATAATAAACCGCAGTCGTTTGCCGGAGATCATCGCATACATGGAGCAGGAGATCTATATACGGTTCAACGATCGAGGTGAAAAATGATAAAAGTGAGCGAATTTACTAGACATCGACCAATTACATAATATACATTCTAGTAAATTCATTTTTGTAATTTTCATCTCGGTCGTAGAACCGTAATAGCCTTTCCCCCTCCCCTCTCTCTCTCTCTCTCTCTCTCTCTCTCTCTCTCTCTCTCTGTAACTGAAAAATACGAAATATCAATAAAATTCATATCGATATATCGATTTTATAAGAGATAAAAAAATATCGATGAATATTCTATATTTGTTCCTCGATATTTCGATATTATCGATTTATCGTTGCATCCCTAATACGCGTGCATCCTTCGTGCGCGACTCCGCTAAACCACGAACGTCTCTTTCGCCCGATGAGCCGCGCGCGGCGCATTGCGAGTAGCGGTTGGAAAGGCCGGTCGAGAGCTTTCTGGCGGGCGAGAGATGCGCGCACATGGCGAATAAAACGCGCATTCTCCCGGTTATTATTGTCCTGCGGACTATAATTACCCCCCTCACCGGACGTCACCATGAGAGCGACAAAGAGCGCCGTCCGCGCCGCGTAGAGCGGCGATCGCGTTTGAGCGAAAATAATCACCGCCGGCATAATCACAGCGCGCGAGCGACGACGTTCCTCGGATAGCGCAGTTAGCGCTGATGATTAAATCCTCCGTCGATGGATCATCCAGACGGCAGACGCACGACGAATCCTTATCCTCGGTTTCATTGCGAGCGGCCCCGACCGGACGTGTTAATTCTCGACTCGCGCTCGCGATTGACTTGTCAACATTCTCGCGATGTTGCAAATCGAGAAAGTAATGTGTCGAGCGAGTGTCGACACGGTCAAGTAATAATCGTGATCCAACAAAGGAAGTGTTACACAATCCCTACGACTCGGAGTCGCCGCGCGGTAAGGCGAGTCGGCTTGGAGAAAAAGAGAAAGAAAAAGATAAAGAACGGCGCGCTGACGCCTTTCTTTTTTCCTCGGTGAGCGCGTGAATTCCGGATGTTATTAATTGACCGATGGGCAATTAAAGCCGGCGTGACGGCACGAAAGCCGAGGCTTTCGCGAGGCGAGCCGCGCGTGCACGCGGGGCGAGGAAACGGCAAGAAGCGGCGAACGCGGTCGCGCTTATGCGCGCGCGACTTTATTAAAGCGCGTCCTCTCCCCTCTCGACGGGGCCGCGAGGACGACGGAAGTGGGATCGAGTTTTTCCCACAAACCTTCTAGCAACGGCCGCTACCTATGCGCAGCATGCCTTTGTAAGCGCGCGTTATCCGCCGACGATCTGTGTGATTAACGCGCTGGCCGCGATCAAAGCGGTGATCATCGGCCGCTCGTCGCGCGGGCTTCTTCGCGGAGGCCGCTGGAGTAAAACCCTCCTTGCGGAGCAAAACGCGATCCTCTCTCGGCACCTGTTTTCCGCCTGCCGGGTATCCCACCGGCTCGCGATGAGCGATGAGCTGCGGGAGTATGAGCGATTTTGCGATCGTCCAGCTTCTTCGACTCGACGTCGAGCTCGACGAAGCTGATCGAAGAGAACAGAATCACCGGTTCCCGATGATTCTGATAAAATTATCAGAATATTTACATAATTTTCATAAAATTTATAATATTTACATAATCTTTACATAATCTTAATATTTACATAATCTTAATAAAATTATCAGAATATTCACATAATTTTCATAAAATTATCCGAATATTCGTATAATTTTAATAAAAAAGCAAATCCGATGTCGGACCGATTTCGTTCAACGCGAACGTCTATGACGCGGAAACAAATATTTCAATGTTTCGTACATTTGCAGCAATAGGACTGAATTATCTGCAAACGTCATGTTGCACGGAGAGAAAAGTGCTTGGTTGAATGAATGAATTTTTTGGTGAGGTATATATATCAACGACCCGGGAAAAGATATCAGAATTCTGTCCAAGTCAATTCAGAAATCTTGGTGATTTAGATCGAATTCTGATTTGCTCAGCCAAGATTTCTGTATCGTTCATATTTCACCAGAAATTCTTTCATTCAACCACATATTCTTTTCGCGTGTGGATGACTCTGTAAAAATGACACTTTTTCAATATAAAATGCAGATGAAAATAATATATATATATATATATATTAGTCAGGTAAAAAATTAAATTCTGGCCAGAACTTTATTCGCATGAGAAAGTCATTTTTTGACAAATCAGTGCTTGCTCTTATCTAGATCAAATTATCCGAGTATTCATATTATTTTATTCATATTATTATAAAATTATCAAATATTCGTATAACTTTAATAAAGAATATTTACATAATTTTAATAAAATTATCCGAATATTCTTATAATTTTAATAAAATCATCCAAATATTCGTATAACCTTAATAAAATTATCAGAATATTTACATAATTTTAATAAAATCATCCGAATATTTATATAATTTTAATAAAATTATTCGAATACTCATAAAGCTTCAGTAAAGTTATCGGAATATTCATAATTTCATAATATTCATAATTTTAATAAAAATATTCGAATATTCATATGATTTTAATAAAATTATCCGAATATTTATACACCTTCAATAAAATTATCGGAATATTCACATAATTTTAATAAAGTTATCTGAATATTCATATGATTTTATCAAAATTATCCGAATATTTGTATAATTTTATCTAGATAACACACAGCAAATACCGATTACGAATCTGATTACTGAATTTGTAAAACAAAGCAAAAACGCGTCTCCCGTAACGATCTTCCACGAATTTCCGCACGAACGGAAGTTGAAACGCGCGCAGGAGCCGACCGCGCCAAACGTCCCCGCGAGTCCTGCGGCCTCCTCGCGGTCTCCCGGCGAGATTCCTGCCGGAGCGCAGAGCCCGCCGGCCGTCCGTGCAATATACCCGGCGCATATGTAACGCTAATTTATCTCGGAGCGTAATTCCTGGCCTAATGGGCGCCATCAATATGACAGAAGGTTCGCGGGGCGAAATCGGCGCGGGCAATCTCGCCGATCGTATTCAATGTCTTCGCAACGTGTTCGCGTTCGTGGGACGTATCTGCCGTGGGGCGACGAGCGGCGCAGCTCGCCTCGTCCTGCAGCAGGATGCATTCCTCGCGCAAGAGCGCGCCTATAGGTGTACACGAGCAGCCGGCCGGCGCAATTACTCGGGAGAGACTTTTTGGTTCCGGTAGGAGGCGTTTCTCTCATTCTTTCTCGCGTGCATGCGTCCGCGCG